GGGGCCGCTATGGGGGTGTTGGTGGGGTTATTAGGGGTTCTGGACCCTTTTTTTTGGTTCTTTTTTTTTTGCGTGGTGCCGACGACCCCCAACCGGTGCCTGGCTCTTGGCCAGCCGAGCCGCCTGGGCAGCCCGAGGTGGGCCGGTTGGTAGCCCAGGCATGAAGCAATTGCTCGTGTCACTGTGGAATATTGATGTCCTTTTGTTGTATAATAACAATGGCGGCGGCGGCCTTGACATACCACCTTTGAACTCACCAGCCCCAGGAAATTCTGAATTATTTTGTTCTAGTCATCTCGTTCCATGGGAATATTGAACTCAGGTCTGTTTTTCAACCGTTCATGGGTGTACCAACTGAGCTAGGACCATTGGTACACCATAGTTGGCTTGTCCAATAGATGTGCAAAGGCCTCCCTGCCCATGACCTCTTGACTTGAGCTTGCGACTTCTGCTGCAGTGTTTAAGAAATGCTGCAATCTATGAGAAATGGCTAAGAAAGCTGTGCCTTCGTGTTTTGTACGTGAACATGTCCTCGGCTGCAAATCTGTGAAAATTTTGGGCGGGTGCACACAAATGTTATTGGCAATTTGACACTGAACTTCTGAGTTTTTATGGGGCCGTTAGGGATTTTCGAGCACGTCTGTGCTAGGCCTGCCACCAGTGGGTCTTCCCAACAACTGTAGTTTGGTACTGGACATAACTGGATGCACTAGGAATAGGTCATGTCTGGGTCTGGAAGAGCTTAGCAGACTGAGCTGAAATGTCATGATCTCCCATCAAGATGCAGCAGTAGTAGGCCCTGTTGACCACGAAGCTAATCTAAGACCAGGTTACAAACTGGATTCTATAATGCTGTTTGGCCATTATTTCAGAGAAGGGAAAGAGGAGTGGGAAGCTAGGAGTTCCGTGAAGGAGTGAGCCTCCTGGTCATAGGGAAGCCCCCCCCCCCCCCCAGCGATGGAAGAAGCTTCCTCGGGAGTCCTCAGCTGGGCAGCTAGGCATTGCTCAGATAAAAGAGGGAGTTCCCTGGCCTCGGAGGAAGCCTCCCCAGCTATTATGGAAGCTTCCTTAGTTGTTGGAGGAATGCTGCCCACAGTGTTATGGGGTATTGAAAACTTGAGACCTCCTTGTGCAGCGGGTCTATCTTCTGGCTGGTGTGGCGGCAAGTACTCACTGAAGCCATGGCGTGCAACTTTGGTCTTCTTCTTGGAGAGATACTTACAGAGTTTGGGGCCGTGCAGGCCTTCGTGGGACACGAAAGGCCCTCAGGGATGAAAAGTAGAGATAAAGGAGGTCTCTTGTGCTGCTGCCTGTCCATCAGAGACTGAATTTTGTGTTGCGATGAGCGGTTGAAGAGAAAGGGGTGGAATCCTACAGAGAGAAGACTTTGGTGAGAGTATTCGAATATTCGCATTCTCATAGGTGTGCTTGGTTTAGTCTCAGTTTATTATTCTTTGCTTCTCATAATAAGAAGAGATAGAGGACTCTCTAAAAGGGGAGGGGGAGATTACTTTATGCTTCGATGCTGAATTGGCTTCATTCTCTCCATCTCTGTCCCTCCCATCCAAAACGTTCTCTTTTCTCAACTACATTGCAATGTGACTGATGTTTGTGCTTTGTCAACTTTTGGACAAGGATCAGATCAGATGTGATACTCACCATGACCACTGCTGTTTCCTTGCAGGTACTCAAACATAAGAGTGTGACAAAGGTGCTCATGTGTGACATTGACAAGGTAGGTTATGGTGACAATCAAGGAAGGAAAGTATAAATGCCCCTTTTTAGGGTTGCATACCCGACGACCGCCGACCCCGACCGCCGACCCCGACCGCCGACCATTTTGCAGCCTATCAGTAGGGCCGACCGGTTGGGTATGGGGGTGTTGGTGGGGTTCTTGGGGGTGATGGACTCCCAATTCTTTTTTTTTTTTTTTTTTTTTTAGCGGGGTGCCGACAACCCCTGCCTGGTAGGTGCCGACCAGTCAAGGGCGCTGACCGTCGGGGTATACAACTCTGCTGAACATGATACAATTGTATGGCAGTTGTATCATTTGGAGATGGCATAGAAGTGTTTTGTATGTGAAATTGTAAACCATTGACTAAAGGGGAACATATCCATGTACATCTTGAAACACCTGTTCCGCACGGACCTTCATGTGGTGATTGCTTTAGGATGGCGATGTCTGTGAGAATTGTTGTTCTCACTAATGCATCCTACAAAGACCCCACAAATGTTTGGTTTGGATTCTTTGGAAATTATATGTGGAACAGTTGGATTACTTATCCGGGCGTCCGGGCTACCTCACGAGGCCAGAATGCCCGGCCGGTTAAGGTCTTGGGCAAGTTCCCAGCCATTCTCTCAGGCATCCCTAGCTCAAAATTTAAAAATTTTGAAAAATCATTCCAAAATGGCAATTAAAAACAATCTGGAAAAGCAATTATATTGTGTACAATTGCGATGCAAAGTTTTGGCTGAAGGTCACCTCAAAATTCCTTACTGAACCAGACTCAAAGAGAGAAAAACTTCAAAAAAGAAAATAAAAGTTTACACCCCCTTTACTACCCTTGAAATCCCTTCAAAGTTTACACCACCATTTATACCCCCCCTCCCGACCCCCTGCAACCGACAACATAGAAAAACAAAAAAAAGATTGTGTGTTTGGGCTGCTTTTGGTAGGTGCAGAAATGCCTCACCGATGGAAAAAAGGGAAAAAAATCCTGATGTTTAATGTGCCCGGCGCCCAGGTTGTGCGGCTGCCTGGCTGGGTGTCCCAGGTAACCTAGAATCATGTGCTCTTGCTTTCAGGTATGTGTCTCGAGTATTTTGATTGAGGCATGGTGAACGGATTTCCTTGAAACTAGGGATAACGGTACTATAACCTCGTTAATCTTAAGTCATCACTGTGCATATGCCTATGCTCCACGCTTTCTTTCTGATCCGGAGCGATGTGCTGGTGCTGAGGCTCCATTTGGCCTACAATCAAAGCCTGCTGCCAATGGCAGGCCCGTTCGCACTCCAGTCAACATATGTGAAACTTGACTCTCAGACCAAAACAGCAGTTCAAGGGCGGAGGGCAAGGCTTCCGCTGGCCCTCTCGCTCCTTGCTGTTCAATCTGCTGAGTGTGGTGAACATAAGAGTGCCTCACACTTACCATCCTGGTAACTAGAACCTGTTCCATCAACAGATGACCCAAGCATAACTCTTTGGTGGTGCAAGCTCCTTCCTTCTCCCACGTTTTACAGATGGTAAAATCCACCTTCCTGCGGTGGTGCTGCCACCTTCCTGCGGTGGTGCTGCCAGCTTGACCTCAGTGAAAAGTAAGTGACCAGTCATATGATATAGTCCTCCAGATCCACCATCTATTGATTCGCAGGTATATCCACGGGCCGTCCGAATCTCATCCTAAGCACTTAAGGCCAGGCGACTCCTCAGATCATCCTTCATACAAGTTTACCACCTCTCCAGGATAGCACCCCAGAATGTCCCATCCTCCCTCCCAGGCAGGCTTGACCACACATGACTTCCGCAAGGTAGGGTCCTACCATACTTTCGCCAAGAAAGGTAAGGCACACCAGCTATATTTTGTTTGCTGAGTCTTTTGTCTGGCCTATTTTTGTCTGTTCCAGTGTGTTGTTTCAGATTTTCCTCTGGTCCGAACAGAGCAGTGTCTGTTTGGACCACTGGACCACGCTTGAGGCCGAGGTAGGCCAGGTCTGAGTTTGTCCGGTAGGGACCCAGGCAGGCCGTTTCCGACCAGCACCACAGGACCAGGACCAGGGCATGTGGTGAGGACCGTTGATCGGAGATCTGATCCAACGGTACTGATTGCAGACCGTGGGCTGCCCAGCCAGGCCCAGTGCTGTATAGCTGGGCCGGCCCTCAGAACGAGGACATTCAGTTCATGAGCAGCCCTGGGTGTGACGCTGCTGGAGCAGCGCCAGACTCCATAGAGCTGTGCTAGCATAGAGGTAGAGGTTTAGGAGGTAGAGAGATGAGTTCAGGGCTAGTGAGCCTTAGCTACGAGGTGGAGAGACTTACCTGGGCGTCATAGCTGGGGTCCTCCTCCAGCAACCTGCATCAGCGAGACACACCTGTGCCGGTCAGTACCTGCGGCACCAGTGCTTCATCAGGGGAGGGAGAGACATAGGAGCTTCTTCTTCTCCTTCTTCTTCTCTTCCCCCTGATCCAGCTCCGACCTCCATAGACTCTTCTTCTTCTTCTTCTGTGAGAGAGAGAGAGAGAGAGAGAGAGAGAGAGAGAGAGAGAGAGAGAGAGAGAGGGA